AATTTTTTTTAAATTATATTATTTTAAGACAAGCATAGTTAGAAGGTTGTCTAAAAATCATGAAATGTGTGATAATATGAAGTAACTATTGTTATTCTTGGGTATCTGTGCTACTCATCATGACTATTAATATGAATATTGGAAGTATAATATGTGACTACACTATGTGACAAATTGCTTCATAAGCCTGTTAAATTTCTGCAAATTGAACCAGTATAAAAAAATGGAAAAACCAAATTACCAGAGTGTGTTATTGCCTCATAAGTTTAGAATTTTAATTCGTATCATTATTTCATAATAATAATAACAGTTTTGAATATTTCATTTTAATAGATGAAGGGAAACAGTGGAGATAACGCTACAATTTTCATTATCTGGAATGCAAGTGTTTGAAAATAAAATAAACTGGAGCAGAGGCAGTAATTGAACATGTACTGAAAACTGATTTGCTAACAATTGAACCTTGAGAACTAGAATTAAAAGTATCTATTAGAATAAAACTTTATAGGTCATTGTTTTAAGAAATGGAGTGTCTGTATTGGAATACAATGAAAATCGTGTGCCTGAAGAATATGATAATCGTAGGCAATATTCAGTTTGACTAACGCAAACTCTTTTTGTAGTTAAAACTTTGAAGAGAATAATGTTTATATATATATGTGTATATACATATATATAATCATCATAAAAACAGAAAAATGCCATCGAAGTACAAGATAATTATTACTAATAAAACTAATAGACTCTAATTACTTTGCCTATTACTCACTTTATTTTGTACTTTGTTGTACCTTGTAATATATATTATATGTATATAGGTATATATGGGTCACTTTTGTGGGGAAATATTTAAAGAAGCATAGCCTTGGGCAAGTCAGAGAACCTGCAAATTTGGATGTCAGTCACATGATCTTCAGAGCTAAATATTGACCACTTGAGGCAAAAAAAAAAACAAACACACATTGTGTTTTACCTAGCTTCATGTGCAGTTCCAATTCTAAAGAGAGAGTTTCACCGATGCTTGGATGGGTTAAAATGGCCTTTGTTAAAGGGAAGTCGACCTTTTCTTTAAATTATTTATTTATTTATGTATTTATTTATGGCTCTGTTGGGTCTTCATTGCTGTGCGGGGGCTTCCTCTAGTTGTGGCGAGCGGGGGCTACGCTTTAGTGCGCGGGCTTCTCATTGCGGTGGCTTGTTGCAGAGCATGGGATCTAGATGCGTGGACTTAAGTATTTGCAGCACGTGGGCTCAGTAGTTGTGGCTCGCAGGCTCTAGAGCACAGGCTCAGTAGTTGTGGCACATGGGTTTAGTTGCTCTGGGGCATGTAGGATCTTCCCAGACCAGGGCTCGAACTTGTGTCCCCTGCATTGGCAGATGGTTTCTTTACCACTGCACCACCAGGGAAGTCCCAAGGGAAGTAGACTTTGAACCTCTTCTTCAGAGGCTATTACTGCTGAAGAGAAGTGTAGGATTCCATTTACCATCTCGTTTCATTGAGGAGCTACAGCCAAGAAACCAGGCTTGCTATGTCCTGTTTGCCAGTTACGTGGTCTCGTGTGTGTCCTTTATAAGCCTTAGCACAAACTGCTTAAAAGGAAAAGGACTTTTCTTCTGGGAAGTGAACTTTCCTAGAGGGAGGTAAATACTGGGAAAGAGCTACAGCCAAGTTTAGGGACAGGAAAAAAAAATTTTTGAAAGGATAGAATAGGGTGTAAAAACAACCTCTCTGAAGACAGATTGAGGCCCTAGGGCCTGCTCTGAAAATATTAAGTGAAAATATAAGGAAACATTTTCACCGCTTAAGAGAAAGTGGGCTGATCTAGGGTAGGGGGTTAGGAGCTGAAACAAACCTATGAGCTTTTTCAACGCAACACGTCAAGATTTAGTGGTCCAGCTCTATAATTGTTTTGTTGTAAAGTAATTGTGGAAAAGCTCATTGACATTTTATTTTTCTTTCTCTGATGCACCCTATAAATCATTGCGAAAAGTATATGTTTTACCTCTCAAATTCAGCTGAAATTGCACTTAAGGAAAAACTGATTAGTTTTTCATTGTGTGTTGTCATACATGCCCATAATTTCTTTTTAAAATAACCTTTAAATTCTTTTAAATGTTAAACTATGACACAATTCAGTGCATGATACAACTTTTTGTTTACAACCTCTCATGAACAGAAAATGGCAAATAGTCAACTCATTTTGTCAAACAAAATAATTTTAGTATAGTAACATGTTTCTTGTTCAAAAGTAGTGTTAAGTTGAAATTATACATTAATGTTCATATTCAGTATGTACATTACATACAGGAAAGGCAAATAGAAAATTATGATACTCATAGTGTTTAGTAGTATGAAAATTGATAATGAAATACCATAACCTTCATTTTACATATACAAATGATCATAAGTGAACATATATAAGTGAAAATGTATAACTGTTGGCATTCTTCCAAATGAATGTGATGATACATGCTTTTTATTCTTGTTTTATGCTGAGTTTTTGTATAAAAGAGTTAAATCAAGCTGATTAAATCATTTCAGTACCATAAGCGGGGAGCATAGAAGAGAGGATTAGCTCATCTGGCAGGATGGATTAGGTCATAGTTTATCCAACCATAATTCAAGGGCTGTGTTCTCCGAGTCTGGAAGTTATGGTCATGTGAAGGATCAGTGCCAAAATGTCTTTTATCATAAGTTGAAGCTGCTTATTTCTGCAGCTGGCTAGGCTTTAGATGATTAGTTAGAATTAGTCAGGTATTTTCTTTTCAAAGCTCAGGATTGTCTTCTGTTCTCTGCCTTTGGTTTATAAAAGTGACTATGTTAGTTTGTATCAGATATACAGTGACACTTTTGTTAAGGGAGGAAATCCATTTATAATATGTGTATATATATATGTATCTTTTTCAATAACTATAAACAGAAGTGGAATCAATGTGAAGCATAGAGATGTATTTGAAATAAAGAAGACTTCGGTTAAAAAATGAAAGATGTAAAGCATTGTTTTTCAAACTGTCAATTGTGGCCCATGGTGGGTAATGAATTCAGTTTAAGGGGTCTTTGACAGAATTTTAAGAATGGAATAAAAAAGAAGAGAATAGGTTAACACAGAAAACATTGGCACAGTTATGAAACCTAGTGTGTGTGTGTGTGTGTGTGTGTGTGTGTGTGTGTGTGTGTGTGTGTGTGTGTGTGTGTGTGTGTGTGTGTGTGTGTGTGTGTGTGTGTGTGTGTGTGTGTGTGTGTGTGTGTGTGTGTGTGTGTGTGTGTGTGTGTGTGTGTGTGTGTGTGTGTGTGTGTGTGTGTGTGTGTGTGTGTGTGTGTGTGTGTGTGTGTGTGTGTGTGTGTGTGTGTGTGTGTGTGTGTGTGTGTGTGTGTGTGTGTGTGTGTGTGTGTGTGTGTGTGTGTGTGTGTGTGTGTGTGTGTGTGTGTGTGTGTGTGTGTGTGTGTGTGTGTGTGTGTGTGTGTGTGTGTGTGTGTGTGTGTGTGTGTGTGTGTGTGTGTGTGTGTGTGTGTGTGTGTGTGTGTGTGTGTGTGTGTGTGTTATTTGTGCTGGATTAAGATGTAAACTGTTTTTCTTATTTTTCCTTACTATTGGCCTTGAACAAAAATAATCTATAAGCTATTAGTGTAGAATAAAAAGGATAAAGTTGCTAGTTATGAAACGCTGGGCAGTTCATCTCACTAAGCCTGTTTCTCATCTGTAAAATGGGATTAATGCATTCTCCCCTCACAGGGTTAATGGGAGAATTAAGTGAAATGATACATGTTCAAGTCCCCAGCATGGTTCCTGCCACATAGTGTACATTCAATAAATGGTACATTTTATTAGTAGTAACATTGTGACTACTAAACTAGTTAACTGCTGACTTTTCAGAATGCATTAAATTATACTCCTGGATATTTTGAAATGGCTGAAGGAAATCACAGGTGTTCAATCAAAGTTATACATGGAAAAAGATAGACCAGAGCAAGAGATGTGGTCAGATGGAGGTGTGCTGATGAATGCCAGATGAATGACAGGCTTGTAGAACTGTATTTGGTTAAGATTATTCCCTGCATTCCAGTAACTCCTGGTTAATTAGGAATCAAGTAGCCATTCAGCCCATCAACCATCTAACCCACATACCTTTTATATGGCCAAATAGACCTCAAAGGATAATTGGGGTTTACCTTGAGGTCTTGTCAGATACATATGATCTGGTTTCAGAGACTTCTCTGTAAGATGGAACTATTTATTGTGAAAGAGTTTCGATTTAATTATCATCAGCCAGATAATCTGCAGTCATCAGCTGTTGTGAACAGATATTCAAGTTCTCTACCCTTGTCTTGGAATAGGCACAATGAATGGATGTAATAAATAAAGTATGGACCATATTAAAACCAAACTACAGTTGTATGTTCTTACCTCTCTAATTAAATCTGTCATGTTTATCCAGATTTTTGTTTATGTTCTCTTTCTCTCTTATTCATGGGCAGATTCCTTGATGGCAAAAAGGATGTCTTATTCATGGTGCTGGCAACTGTTTGACATAAATACATGTTTTTATGTATGAATGATTCCTGACCGTCAATATATAAATCATATTGTGACAGACTCACATTTCTTCAGTTTTTTGTGAAAGACCATTTTTCAGTCTTCCCAGCTGATTTACAGCTGTCACTGCCTAAGGCAGAGAAAAGTAGAATAGGAAAGTAGTTCTTCATGCTTTGAAATCTGTCTACCAACTAACTCTGGGCAATAGAATTCTGGCTCAGGCACCATCCAGTGAATAGGCAGAGCAGTCCCTATGTCCCCAAATCCCAAAGAACTCTCCATTACTTAAAAGAATCATGGAATGTCTGTCTCTCTTATACTAGAGACCGGAGAATTTGGTTATTTTACGCCTAAGAAGTATACATTTTCTCTACATGGTCTAGGCATTATCTCTCTATTTCCTTTGTTGGTTTTTGTTTGAGAGCACTGTATTTTTAAGTATATGAGACAAATCTTTTTTTCCAGGTCTGAGAATGAATAAAGGTGGCATCACCTCTCCCCGCACTTCTCCAGCAAATACGTGTTCCCCAGAAGTAATCCACCTGAAGGATATTGTCTGTTACCTGTCTCTCCTTGAAAGAGGAAGACCTGAGGATAAACTGGAGTGTATGTGTTTCTTCATTTAGTTTACTTATCACGGTTGGGGTGGGGGATAGGACTGGATATTGACAAACTTAAAATTGTATATACTGTGGTTGTTTACATTCTTATTCAATAAAGTGACCTTGGTTAATAATTATTAAAAAATCCTCCAATTGAAAATCAGACAATTAAAATATATTAAGAATCTATCAATTTTAGGTTATTATTGATCAAGGCCCATTTATTACTGGTATTTCTTGAGCAAGTTTATCAATTGATGGTTTTTGTTTTTGAATTTGCTCAGTTTGGTAACCAGATGATATTGAAAAGTATCCTTTGTATTGTTTTGAAAATACACTTATTTCTAGTATGTAGGAGGTCTTCCCATTAGGCAGAAAAAGGGTTCACTATCCATAGGCAACCTGAGCCTTTCTCTCTGGAAATCTTCCTTGAAACCTTCTGCACTAACTTTCGTTGCTGTGGACAAATAACTTCTTAAATGCCAAGCATGAGAGTTTCATTTCTAGAAGTTGACTCTGAATATTATAAATAATTAAACAATAGCTTTTATTTCTTTTACCATGTAGCAGGCATTTCAGATAGAGAATTTCAATCTAGTTGAAAGGAAATAAGTGCTCTCTTTAATAAAATACAGTGACTGAGCTCTCTCTGGTGGCAAACTGTACTCATTGCAAGGCAAGAAAATATTTTTCAAACCTTTACTGCAAGCCCCGTCATTTAATAATCTATTCTATCTCCAAAGCCCTTGCTAAATACAGAGCTTGTGGTTTGTTCAATAAGCTGATTAACCTGATTGTATTAGATATCATTAAAATGAATTAAAGTTTTTTGCTACTGAAATGATAGTAAAGATAATGAATCCTAAATTTGACATTTCTAAAGTAAATGTAGAATATTGTGACACCTCAGAATTATGATTGGGTAGCATGTTTAGTTTAACAGTAACTTTCTATAATATTTCTCTTACTAATAAAGAATTTAATGTAATATGATTATTTAATAGTAACACCTGCTTAAGTTATGAATACACCATATTAACATCATTCTTTAAATACATATTTATTAGTTCTAAATGTTGAATATTTGCATTTCAAGATTTATTTGTATTCCTAAGAACCTACAGAAATCTCTCTCATTCCAAAATAAATATTAATGTTTAGTGAATTTTTATTGAAGTAATGGCCAGAGAGAAAGTTTTCTCAGGTGTTATTAGGACTGTGTTTGGGATGACTTTAAAAATACAAAGATTCGGGCTTCCCTGGTGGCGCAGTGGTTGAGAGTCTGCCTGCCGATGCAGGGGACATGGGTTCGTGCCCCGGTCCGGGAGGATCCCACATGCCGCGGAGCGGCTGGGCCCGTGAGCCATGGCCCCTGAGCCTGCGCGTCCGGAGCCTGTGCTCCTCAACGGGAGAGGCCCCAACAGTGAGAGGCCCGTGTACCGCAAAACAAAACAAAACAAAACAAAGATTCTATAACGGGTCTGAGAATGAATAAAGGCACCATTACTTCTCTCCAACATGGTCTTTGTGATCCAGTTTAATTATTTTTAGGTCAACTGCAAGTATTTTGTTTTTAAGGTAGAATTCCTAAGAGGTATGTTGTAAGTTCTCAGTTTGAATCTGTGTCTCAGCAGTCTTCGTCCACAGTTCCCAGGCATAATGTTAACCCACGAGTGATTCAGAAACACTTGATGAATCAAGTTGAACCTGACCTGCCACTTACCTCTCTTCAGTGTTATCAGTCCCCTTCCCTCAGTTCTTTAAGTTTTCCAGCTCTTTTTCGAGCTTATACCATTCAGCTGCATTTTCTTAACCATTTCTTTAGACTTTCCTCATAGACAGACTTGTTACCACCTGGCATTACTTCTGTGATTTTCACCAGACTCTTGAAAGAAAATGCATTTCAATTTCAGAAACTCATTAAGGTTCTAGCTATGTTCTAGTTTTCTTCTCTACTCTCCTCAAGTTTGGAGGACCTTAATCTGGTCCTTACTCATCTGGAGCTTGTGTTTGTTGGTTTGTTTTTTAAATGCCAGTGCCTGGCTTTTTCCTTACTCATCTGGAGCTTGTGTTTTTTTGTTTGTTGGTTGGTTGGTTGGTTTTCTAAATGCCAGTGCCTGGCTTTTTCCTACATCAGTTAAATCAGAATCCTTTTCTTTCGCCCACTTTCTTAGCCATGTGCTTATACATTTTTCCCTTCTACAGTTGCGCATTTACAAATTCCTAACATTCATGTAGTATATTATAGTTATAGATTCTAAAAATTTTTTCAGTGTCTTTAAAGAAATCTAATGTTGTTAATTTAATGTATATTTCCAAAATGGTTATGACTTACTAAACATATACTAGAGGAAAGAAAAGAAGAAAATAATTAAAATGAACACAGAAGTAGATATAATCAAGCACCTAATATAGTTAACTTTTGCAGGTGAGCGATGTTTTTGAATCTCAGTTTCTAACCAGCTAAGCAGAAAGGAGTACAGACATGTTGTCTTAGGCCAGAGGTTCTTGAACACTTTATCGCACGTAAGAATCACCTGCAGGGCTTATGAGCCCACAGCTTGCTCTGCCCCAACTTGAGTATATGTGATTCAGCAAAGCCTGGAATAGGACTTGAGAATTTTCATTTCAGGTCATGTTGATGTTGCAGGGACCACATTTTGAGAAGCATTGGTTTATGCAGTTCCTTCAGTCCAATGAAAACACACACACACACACACACACACACACACACACACACACAATTCATCTGAAACTACAATTGTTCTTGGAACTGATGGTGGCATTATTTGATGCGTTCTTTTACCTGGGTTATTAGATAAATTAATGACATGTTTTAAATATTTTTTCCCTAAAAAACAATGTTTTATAAATCTATTCAGTGCTTACTGCCACTTCTAATCTCCCCCACCTCTCTTTTCTGCCAGGCATTTACAAAATGTTTAGAATAAAGCTTTTTTTTTTTCATTGAAAGGAAACTAACAAACAAACGCTTTTGAACTTTCCACTGATTATGTGCCATTTCTTCAACTTGCTTTCCTTCACTCAATCTTTGACTCAATCCTAATGCCTCACTGTGGTCTTTGCCAGTTCTGAGGCCCCGTCAAGTAGAAGGTATTTATTTACCTGTTCCCACGAACCCTTGGAAAGTATGTGTGCGTGCATGTGTGTGTGTCCTGAAGTTGTGGAGGAATTCTATTTTTGTCTCCTTGTTGGTGGAAGTTACCAACCATCGAGGTGCATAGATAAGAACAAACATTGTACCAGGTCTGGTTTCCCCTCTTCACCTTAAGCCCACTACAGTACTTTATGGAGAGCCATTCAATACATCCCTCTTTGAGTCTCCTTAGATTCCTCAAGTACTGTGACCTCAACTCCATTTTATTTCAGTCACCCACTTTTGTTGCAATACCCCAAGTCTTTTAATTCCCGAAGACTGCTCTTATTCTATAAATTTAAATTCTAGTATTTTACTTTGACCACAGCCTAAGCTCACGTAACTTTTTACTTTTCTACTTTGAGTTTAAATATACTCAAAAAAGTACTCAAGAGCCTGGACTCTTCACTAACTGAATGAATCTTAGCTTTGACACTTACTATCTGAGTGACCCAGGCACATTGTTAAAACCTCTCAGGCCTCAGCTTCCCCAGCTGTAAAATTGGGATCATAATAATGTCTATCTTGTTTGTTTGCTGTGAGAATTAAATGAACCAATATTTGCTCACATAAATTCCTTCACATTTATGTGAATGTTAAATGAAATAAAAGTAAGTTAATGGGCTTCCCTGGTAGCGCAGTGGTTGAGAGTCCACCTGCCGATGCTAGGGGACGCAGGTTCGTGTCCCGGTCCGGGAAGATCCCACATGCCGCGGAGCGGCTGGGCCCATGAGCCATGGCCGCTGAGCCTGCGCGTCCGGAGCCTGTGCTCTGCAACGGGAGAGGCCACAACAGTGAGAGGCCCA